TTGCCGGAGGCGGCTGAGGGTAGCGCACTCCTCGGCATAGCGTCCAGGATCATCGCATAGGTATCTCTGATGTATGATTTGAGGGGCCCGACCCAGTCAATCTCGTTGGTTGTCTTCAGAGGCACCGAGATCATGGGAGACTGCGTCATGGTGGGCAAGTGGATCTCGGTCTCCGAGGGATTGATGCGATGAGGCGTTCTTGGCTACTCGGCAACTCCAGCTACCACGCGCAGCTGGTCGAGGGAAGAGAGATCGCAGAAGTGCTGGGTTCGTGCGTGTGTATATGCGAAAAGTGTGGTCGTCTTGTATGGTCGGCTGCCCTACGAATGTCAGGGTGTCGGGGTGGGGGGACTTGGGCGTGTGGTTGGGCGTTTATGCGGGCGGTACGTGGTCAGGCGCAGTGCGTGGCTCAGAGGGTATGTCGGTGCCTGGGAGCTGCCGATGCAAGCGTGGTGTCGTGGGCGGAGGTCGAGGCAATCCGTGGCAGGAGGGAGGGCGATGAACATGTGACGATGCTGAGGGGAAAGTTGCGATGGTGTTCCTGTGAGGTCACAGAGGTCCAAAAGACACAGACGGAACGTGGGACGTGGATCTGGGACGGGAGCGGGGCAGGAGCTACTGACTGCTTGCTGAGGAAAGGTACCTGCCTTAAGGTACAGTACCTACCTAGGTATCTACCTAGGTAGCCAGGCAGATACCTAAGTTAGGTAGGCACCTTACCTGAGGTAGGCCTTCCGCCGCTGTCCAGCCCCCGAACTGAACACCCGGCGTTTGGTGGGTTTGGTGCGGGGATTACAGGAAAGGCACCTAAGGCAAACCTAGGTAGGTACCCAGGTACCTAAGGTAAGGTACCCACCTAGGTACGAAAGGTAGGCGGTAGGTATCCTCCCTCATCCCAGACAACAACGAACCTTGTTCGCCAGCGGCCGGCTCATCTCATGCACACTCAAGATGAAAAACATGTATATGCGCCTGCATTGTTTGAGCGAAATGTGGGCAAGCAAGATCTGGAAGAGAGGGATATGATTGCCGCCGGCGAGCTCAGCGGCTGGTGTGAAGTGGCTCAACCTCCTCCAGTGGCCGGCGCTTAATTCTTGCTTGTGACGGGAAAGCTATCGAACCAAGCTGACGGCCAGTCCGTCTACCTGGCCTACATTACCTACCTAGGTCCTTACCTACCTAGGCCCTTACCTACCTAGGTCCTTACCTACCTAGGCCCTTACCTACCTAGGTAGTTAGAGGTATGGAGATCCAGCCAGGATGGGGGGAGAACCGTGGCGAGTAATGGCCAGACCTCGAGCGTCAATCAGCGCCAGCTTCTTTCTGTAGCCGCCGTAGGCCAGGAGGGGACCGAAAGTCGCGAGTTGCACCTCACGGTGATATCCGCTCATTCGCCTAGTTGATGAGACACTCAGGTCACATCGTCAACTCTCATTGTCGGTTCAACATGCCCACATTGTAAGTTTCCCCCGGGCTCTCCCAGTGAGCCCACCACATTGGCTACTTGACAGAACGCCCTTATGCAAGTGACGAGCCAGTCGGCAACGTCTTTGGCCTGCTTACCTTTGCCATTGGCTCGCACCTTCAGGTCTGTTCACACACAAGCTAAGGCGGACATGGGAGCGGGGAACAGAGGCCAAACGGCCCGCTTCCTTCTGCACGTCCATGTCTTCACAGCACACGTGAAGATCCAGAGACGAGCAACGTAGCGCTTGCTCTGGCGGCAAGGGGCCGCCCAGTGTCTCCTCGCTCCCGCTGTGGCGCAACATCTCGTGGGTGCTATGCGATCTTCCGCCAAAGGCCCATTCTGCGACCCGGCCCGGCACTTCTGTGCCTGTGTACCTACCATGTTACCCGTGGTACTGCGGGTGAACGAATGGTTGATTAACGAATGGAGTGAAGTGATTAGTTTGGCACCCTAAATGTGCCGTGGGCAAGATTGCGTTCCTGGCCATCTCTTGGCGGCGTCCTGAGCCAAATTCTCGGGAGCCTGTCCCCGTTTATGAAATTACTGTGTATAGCTGACTACGCTTCAAAGGGATGCAACTATACTGGACATGCACCTCCCGGTTGGGCCCTCTTTCCATACCCCCTGGCAAGGTAGGACCACCTTCGATCACGTCAACTTCAGCCGACATCGTTGTCCATCAGCTTCAAGCAATGACGTTCCTAGGGCCTGCGCTCTGCAACATCGTAGAACTCTTCTTCTGCACTTCGCTGTGGACCTTTGGCAACGCAGTCGGAATTGGGCACAACGCCACTCCTGGCTGATTCTGAGCTTCTCCCTCAGACGCCTCTGACTTTCCTCCCACCTAGATGTCAGGCTCTCTACCACCATTCCTCAAGCACCACAGCACACCAGACATGCCGGTGCCGAGGTCGAGCAACACTTGCTCCCAGTGTAGGTCACGCAAGGTCGGAACAGTCCGCTGCGCCTAGAACGGCTCTTATTTTGTGTTATGTTCGGTTGACGGGCTTGACAGGTACGGTGCGAAGGGGGCCCAGATCCCTGTGCCAACTGTGAGCGGCTAGCATTCTCCTGTTCGGTCAGAACAGCGTCCACGCCGTCGTCATCGTCTGGTGTCAACCCACAAACTCGCCCGGAAGGCGTCGCGGAGCTCGCGCGTGTTTAGAATGTCGGTCTCAGAAATCGAAATGCTCTAGCGAACTCCCATGCTGTGGAAGCTGCCGTCGTCGAGCCAAGACTTGCGTCTATCCTGAAACGGGAAATTCTCATTCAGCACGTCCCTTTTCTTCCTCTCAAAGCCATTCACTCGGTCTGCCGCTCGAAAATCTGTCAGAGAAGCACGACTCTGGCACAGCCATCTCGGTCAGTCCTGACCAGCTTTCTACAGAGCAACGCTTGGAATCAACGTCTGTGTTCCGTGACAGCCCGGCAAGTCATGGCAACTCAAGACCACCCCAATTCCAGAATGTGGTGGTTCCGCCAACTCGCGAACAACTGCGGCTGGTTAACGACTTCTTCCGGCATGTGTATCCCATGCCTGTGTATGCATTCCTCAACAAATTGTCGATAACGCAGCGCTGTATAGACTCCACGCTGGACGAGACCTTGCTTCTGGCACTGCTATCAAGTTCAGCCCTTCATTTAAAGTACACGAAATACTTTCCGGTCCTCACGGATACCTGGGTCCAAAAGGTAGAAATGAGGATCTGATCGCAGATCGAACAGCCGTCAATCTTTCTGACCCAAGCTCTCATGCTTGTAGTTCTGTATCGGATGGAGACCGGCGGCTTTCAGAAAGCTTTCATGCTATGTGCTCTGGCAACACGTGCCGCCAGTGCTCTTCGTCTGCACTATGAGCGAACGGACCTCAGTCCACTAGCCCAGGAGATTCGCCGCCATGTCCTATGGTGTCTGATGATGGCGGATGCGCAAGTTCCAGTAGGCTTGTCGGAGTGTGAGCTCTGCCCTCACAAGGTCATCTATCTCGAGTTTCCCTGTAACGAGGAAGACTTCGTGTCCGAATCAGAAGCGCAGTCTCAGTCACTCGACGGCATCCCTGAGGGGGATTCCTTCGGCAGATTGTGCAGCAGGTCGTCGTCAGGAGAGACGTCGTGAGGCTGAGACGCCAGGTGTCTCTATCCAGGCAAGCCATACCCCAACTCACCTCGATCGCGGACGACTTTCGGCGCAACCTGCAAGCAATGAGGTGCGCAACCTGCAAGCAATGAGGTCCGGAACTTGTACACTCGAAGATATCAATACCTACTCGCGGTCTCGGTGGCTTGCGCGATTCTCGGCACACACTGTCCTGGCACCAGTGTCACTGCGACGTATCTCGTATATTTCTTTTTGGTTACAAAGAGGCGGCTCGTCAATTCACAGGCTGGCCTGCAGATACTGAATGATCTGTCGAAATTGAGCCCAGGCCTTCTGGTTCCTTATATGGATGTGTCGGTTTGTGGTCACCACGCGTTTCGTTTGGTACTCTTCTTGAGCCGTTCTCCCTTCAACCCAAAACATTCGGGCTTGACTCCAGATATTGCATTGGCCAAGGCGTCTGCTGTGTCTGAGTTTCTCAAGCGCATTTTTGCAAACTCTCACATTGCGAAGCACCTTCTGGCTGGTCTAGTCGTCGGTCTCTACCTGACCGGACAACGGGAACAAAGTCAAGACCCTTCTGATACCGAAGAGGAGACGCCACACCAGCGCCCTCAGTTTGCCCGCGCTGCAAGACAGCATCAGAGGCTAGGCATTCACAGCATGCTTCGACAAGCTCGGTTCGTCGACGACAGCGACCGGGCTCCAGAGCTTGCCGAGACTGAGCAAGTTGGCGATCGCCGTTTGAAGGGCCTCGCGAACGCTGGACTATACACCCACTCCTTGGGCAGTCGCCACCCGAGCGGCGTCACGCAGCCCACGCAAACACTGCCTTGCACCGACCAGCCCGCGACTCACGTGTCGCTGGTCACAGCCGATCTGACTCTGAATACAGCGGGTGATCTTGCAAGTGGACTTGACTTTGTCGTGAGAGCTTCGGTTTGGGTACACCTGGTGGATGGCATGACATCTGGAGTCGTCACGAGCAGTCAACCTCGGCAGACGGAGAATACTTTTGAGTCCTCCTACGAGAAATGTCTAACAAAGGGGTTCAATTGATGAATGTGTACAACTCCCTTGTCACGCTTGATCACGACACCTCATAGCACATCGTGTGAAGAGGACCGACTCCCTAGCGATCGCCGACAGCCGTAGTGTACATACTCCGAACGTGTGGTTTTGGCAGCCCCCACTCCGAACCCCCCGGCACTGGCCAACAACGGTTGGCTCCTCGTGGCATTCTCGCCATCAGCTTCATCACGTCATGCATGATTGACCGCCTTGAGTCTCGGTTGCAACGGCAACGCAGAATCCTTACTGGAAAAAAAATGGGGGCCGAGGGATGACTAGGTAAAGAAACTTTAAAGACCGACGGCCGGCTTTCGACCTACGACCTGGTCAAGAAGCCTCAGCTTTCATGACGCTCGCTTACGCCCAAACCACATCAGTGACATCAAACTCTGCCGCAATGGCCGCCGAAATCCGACCAAACATTATTTTCATCATGGCGGATGATCATGCTGCCAAATCCATCTCATGTTACGGAGCTGGTATCAACAACACGCCGAATCTAGACCGACTCACCAACGAGGGTATGCTCTTCAACCATTGCTACGTCACGAACAGCATATGCACTCCTTCACGAGCCGCAGTTCTTTGCGGCACGCACAATCATGTCAACGGGGTCATGACGCTGGACTCTAAGATCAATAAAAGGCTACCGAACGTGGCCAAACAGCTTCGTTCAGGAGGCTATCAAACCGCGATGGTTGGCAAATAGCACTTAGGAGAAGGTGCCGAACACGAGCCTACGGGGTTTGATTCCTGGAGTATGGTTCCTGGTCAGGGAGAGTACTGGGATCCTCAGTTCATTCAGTCGTGGGGTACTTCCGTAGTCCCCGGGCGCGCCACAGATATCATTACAGACAAGTGCATTGACTGGATGGAGAAGCGCGACAAGTCTCGGCCATTCTTTCTCATGTGTCATCACAAGGCGCCACACCGAAGCTGGGAGTACGACGAGAAACACAAGGATCTCTACAAGGACCCCATTCGGCTTCCAGACACCTTTTCCGACGACTACAAGAACCGTGCCAGGGCGGCCACTGTCGCAAAGATGAGGGTTGCAGACGATTTGACCTACACAGACCTGGGCATCGTGCAACCTGAAGGTCCAAGGAGTAAGGTCGGGTCAAAAATGATCGACAGGTGGTGGTGGAACGATGGAAAGATTCCCAATCCTGACGATGTTACAGGTCTGAGGCTTATCTGCAAAGAGACGGGCGAAGTCTTCACATTCACAACAAAACAGGGGCTAACCGAGTTCAAGTTCCATAGATACATGCAACGTTATCTCCGCACAATACAGAGCATAGATGACAACGTCGGACGTATGCTGGACTGGCTCGATGCCGAAGGGCTAACGGAGAATACCGTCGTCGTATATACGTCAGACCAGGGATTCTTTTTAGGCGAGCACGGTTGGTTCGACAAGCGATTTATGTACGAGGAAAGCTTCCAGATGCCTTTCATGATTCGTTACCCACCAACTATCCAGCCAAAGTCGGTCTGCAACGACATTATCTGCAACGTTGATTTCGCGCCAACCTTCCTCGACCTAGCAAAAGTTCGCATCCCTACGTGTATGTAGGGTGTGTCCTTTGTCCCAGTCCTCCGAGGCCAGACGCCCGAAGACTGGCAACAGATTGCCTATCACCGGTACTGGATGCACCAAGACATCATTCACGAGGCATATGCGCACTATGGTGTCCGAGATCAGCGCTACAAACTCATTTACTGGTACAATGAAGACTTTGGCCTCAAAGGCACACGACCCGGCGGGGAGGAAAAGGAATGGGAGCTCTTCGACTGTGAAGAGGATCCCCTGGAACTGTTTAACTGCTATCATGAACCTCGATACGAGGACACAGTTCGGAGGATGACCAGGATGCTGGAGGACAAGATGGCAGAGATTGGTGATGAGCCAGTGCACACCAGACTAAGCCTCAAGCTCAGGAATGGTACCTCACACGCTGCGGTGTAAAGACAATCGCATCCTTGATTCTAGAGGGACGGGCTCGCCTCTCACTCTATAGACCAATCATTTGAGAGTCCATTACTTTCACACGTATGTTTTTCCCCTCCACAAGATTGTCGATGAACTAGAGCGACGTTCCATGTGACATCCCCAAGGCTTGCTTGGCGTCGAAATTGTCGCCAGCAAGAGAATGGTAGTGGCTCGCTCGACAGCAAACGCGACCAGTGGTCACCTCTTCGTCCCAGCTGGGTCGTTCCTTCACCCGATATAGCACTTCTTGGCCTGACAGCTGCGAGCTTGTTCACTGACACGAGGCCTCGTTCGCTCGATAGTGCCCTCAATTCCCAGGCCGTCAGCCCCCTGGAAGCCCGACCGGACCGCCGAGCGCCGACTGCCGGAATTCACTACCACTGACTTGCGACGCCATTCCCATCCTGGCCGTTGAGAGGGTATGATGAAGGCAGTCTCTTGGGAAGAGATTTGCTGCGACATCAACCATCTGCATAGTTGGAGATATTCCCCCTAGGAGTGACTTCAAATCAGTGGAAATAGTTTCGCGAACGCCATCCTCTGGGTCTCTGTCATAATCCCATTGAGACCAGCCACTGGGTTCTTACGAGGCGAGAGGATTCGAGACGTACAAGTACCTACGGACGACACGATCCAGCATTAATAGTACACAGAGCCAGACCACAAATGATTCAGAGTGTCAAACGTTTCGAAGTCATCTCTGACGGCGATTGTACGCAGAACAACCAACGCTCACCTCTCCGCGACCTCCTCCGCAATGTCCACCGAGAAGTCACAAACCCTCAACTGTCTCCATGAGGAGACTCGTTCCACTTCCCCAGGCCAAGTGCCCCTTACGCAAGACGACGCCGCCAATGCCGCTCAGCGAATTTAGGCGACCCTGACTCTTAAAGAGGCCTTGCGGTACTACCGTAAGGCCATTGCCTGGTCGTTCGCCGTATCGACTGCCACCATCATGGAGTCGTACGACCTCATGCTCATCGGCTCGTTCTTCGCCTTTCCGCCTCTCTAACGCAAGTTTGGCGTCCAACTGCCCAATGAATCCTGGTCCATTCTAGCCCGGTGGCAGCTGGCTCTGGGCATGGTCACCAATTGCGGCTTGATCCTCGGCGTATTTGCCAACGGCTATTGCGCCGACCGCTGGGGATAACGCAAAGTCTTGATGGCCTCGCACACGGCTCTCGTCGCCTTGATCTTTATTGACTTTTTCGCGCCCTCTGTGGAGGTTCTGACAGCTGGCACGTTTCTGATGTACGCTTGACTATCTGGTGCCCCTTTCTTTTGCCTCCTCTCCTGCTGACAGAATGCAACGCTAGGTCCATCGCTGGGTAGGAACACATACTACGTCTTGAACATTGTCAAGACGGTCGTGGCTCCCTACTTGCTGAACCCGCAGGAGGCGAATCTGCAGGGCAAAGCGGCGTTTCCGGCGGCGGGCTTGACGCTAATGCTCGCGGTCTGGGCTTGGCTCGGACTGCCAGAGCTGAAGGGGCTGACGGGCGAGACGCTGGACAGTCTGTTCGAGAGAAAAGTACCTGCGAGACGGTTTCTGAAGGCGGCCAAGGAGCTGCAGCACGTGCGGTAGAGTCGCGAGCTTACATATTACAAGGTCGATAACGTCAGGGAGGTGCTTTGATGGGCCCAAAGGTAGATGGACCATTGCGTAGTACAACTGCAGCAGGCATTACGTTGTACAACCTCAGCAGGCTGACAGATGCCACCGTAGCCGGCATGAATGGTTGTACAAGCACTCTATATCGAAGGTCATTCCCCAAGCCAGAGACAAGGCAGCCAACGAGACCGCCTTTCCACACTCCCAACCCATGCATGTTGATTACTACTACCAGTCAGGTGCAAGGCGACGCGTGGCAAGTGTTGATAGGGGCGCCTTGCCAAGTTTCACTCTCGTCATCGTTCCAGCCAGCAAATGAGCCTGCCCATGGCTATGCCTATCTTCTGCACTCGTGCACATTGACAATTGAGGTACTCGCTCATATGCTCCCGTCATCCCGGTTTAATACCGCGGGGTCGAGGATGCCATGAGTGATTGATCATTGTGCGTTCATTCACTCGAGCCCAGTGGCAGCGGCTTCTTCTATGTGTACTCACGTCTTCAATTTAATTATTATCCTTCCCTTGGATCAACACGCCATTTGAATACGATACAAAGAGCATAACCGCGATAGTTACCGCTCATATAAATTACCATGTCACAGCCTGCATTGGGACTGCAAGTGCTTCAACCAACTTCAGACGGCAGCCCTCTGGTGATCAAGAAAGAGGATGAGGTCAACGTCGAGTAAGAAACAGCTTCAGAATGGGCTACATCCGAGAACTCTCTGGCTGATAAACATTCGTATCCAGTATCGTCCTTGTCCATGGACTGAATGGCGGCTCTCACGCCACGTGGACCAAGAATGGCTTTTTCTGGCCAAGGGAGCTTATGCATCAGCTACCTGGCGCTAGAATTATGACTTACGGCTTCAACACGGGTTTCAAACGACAGGGCTTGTTTGCCAAGGACCACATTCGTGCGTTCGATATTGCGGAAGATCTTATAAACCAGCTCTGCCACATACGGCGGGGTCAAGATACCCGCCCTCTGATCATGGTTGCCCACAGCCTTGGGGGGCTCATCGTCAAGCAGGTTCGTCTTCAAGCAGTAGTGCCCACTATCTGTCCACTCATCTCATATCACCGTGCAAATAGGCACTAGTCGAGGCTCGCAGATCATCACAAGCTTCCATCAGGACGGTATTTGATGCTGTTATTGCGATCATTTTCTTCAGTACACCTCATACCGTTAGTGCACTCATGGGCGTGCAATATCGAGATACTGTCAAAGGTATTGCCAAGCTTGGTGGCTATACTGTGCCACATGAGATCCAACGCAATTTATCTCTCCATTCAAAGGAGCTCTTGAATCTTAATCGAGCCTTCAGTCGGCTACTATTCCTAGACACGAAGAAGATCCTTGTTGTCAACTTTCACGAAACAAAGGCCCGCTATGGGCGACTGGTACGTATAACTTGGAACAGGACCTCACCAATACTCTGGCTGACAATCTACGGTAGATTGTTGATGGCTTGACTGACCACAGCTGGGGACTCCGATTGAAATAGAGCACATTTATGACTCAACCGAGTCGACATCCGGGCTGACAAACCAAAGCACCATGGATCTGAAGGCGTTCGTTGTGTCCGCCGAGGCCTGCCAAACTCTGCTCGACGATTTGCGGCTTTGGTTGGAACGGAATGAAAAAACACCTGAGAGACCAACCTTGAGCCAAGCCTCCGATGTCAACCGTGAATCTTCCTTCTACGGCAGGAATGATGATGCCAGTGATGAGATAGCAGCCACCGAAGGCCAAGAGCTATTTGCTGACTCCCAGGCTTTTTCCATTATCAGTCAGCTGCAGCTCATGACGGCCTCCCGAACTTTGTCTGTTTGAACGCCAAAGTGGTCAGTCATGAATCACATGAAAGGCATGGTCGAGGATTTCTTGGGGACAAGTTGGATTTGGTGGCCCTTTCGGCAGCGACAACGTGAGCTTGCCGACGGGTATACCCGCTTGCGGTGGCTTTGTGTAATATCTCCTGCCTCTGCACAAGCTCGTGCGATGCACTTATCGGACTGCTAACATTAGAGGTGCTTCACAGGGCTGTGAGCGAGAGCGCTTTGCCGACGTCCCTACCGACCTAGTTTCGTACATCTTGAAGACAGTACGAGGCGAAGGCAGTTCTACCGCAGACAGACAAAGTCTTCAGTCGGTAGCGTCTGGGTCTTCTCGAATTCCGCTTGTCCCACAAAACAAAACAATGGGCAGCAACCTTTGGCAGCCTCGAGACCCAAAGAAGCCGCCAAGTCACAATGGCGTGCGAATCTCCCCTCATCGAGAAAAGAACATAGAGTCTCATATATTCTTGGTTGTGCCGTCAGGTCTTTACGTTGGAGATGAACAGCTTTTGGCCTAGCGAACAGTAGCAATGGGGACTTCTGACGATGACCTCTTCTGTTGGATTCAGGAGCAATACTTTCTACTTCGGGGGCGACTCGGCGCATTCATGAGCATTCGCATTTACTCGCACTGTGACTTTTACATGGTACGTCAGTTGAGGAATGAAGCCTGACCTTTGTGGCTTGTGAACTGACCAGGACCCGTGCAGTTCCACAAATACGACACCGAGATGTACAGTCCTGTCGAGCAACATTCGTTCCCCGGGAACGAAATCCCTTACGACTTTTCGCCCAAGCCCATGGACCCTGTTCTGCCAATATCAGATGACCAGTTCTACCACCGCTTCTATGCCTGTTATAACCCAGCAAGCCTTCACAGGCTATTTCACAAATGCCGCAAACGCTGTGGCGACAGGGCAGATGTCGGCAGTTTCCCTCTCCGTCGCCATGGTCTTCAGGTCGAGGTCACGAAGAAAGAATACTTTTGGGGCATCTACGTTGTCACACGCGTCTCATACACCGGTGTTGCGGTCTACAGTTCTCTCTGTTGCCTGCCGGGGCTCGTCTTCTTCTTCTTGTGGATGTTTTCCTGGGGCCATTCTGGGGACTTGCAAAACGCCTCTGTCCCACTTTGTATTTCACTCGCTCTGCTGGTTGTATTTCTCTCATTTGTTATTGTGGATTCCTTTTCTTCCAGGCGACAGTGTCCCGTCATGAAGGAGAAGACAGTGTAATTCGGGTATACGTCAAGATCTATCTTATCGGTTGAGCAGATCATCAGGGGGTGTGTACCACAGGACTTAGTACATATAGTAGTTAGCTCGGATTCGAGTTCTAGAATCTTGATGAAATCGGGTTGTCTCGTCTTCTTAAGTATATATAAGGATCAGGTCGTTGATCTTATCATCAGCTACGAAAACCTGTACTTAGACAAGTGGATAGCACGATCATCCCAGGAGGCGTTACTGTTGTTTTCATGCTGTCGCCCCGTCAACTTCCCAGGATCTGACTACATCTAAAAAAATTCTGACCGGATACTAAAGCAGATAGGAGGCGTCAGAGTGACGCCTGCTGCGTCCTCATCACGCCGGGTTCGTGTCACAGGCCCATCAATGCATCATCCCAACATGCATCTTGAAATCACATGCAAAACGCAAACCCTCTCAGCTTCAACATTCAAAACCTCCCTCAACCATTCTGTTCCGTTGAGAACAAGGAAGCGCAACAAACATCCTATACCAGTCTTATCCTCCGCCCCAACCTAATCCGTTGGGGCCCCTCCTTTCCCAAAAAACACGATCCCACCCCCCCAGACGATCCACGCTCAACCCGAGGCGAAGAGAGACCAGAAGACAATGTGGGGACCCTGACTCTTGCGATTTTGCATGTGATTCCCGCCAAGAACCCACTCGACGCCCACACACCATTGAGATCAGATCCCGTAGTGGAGCTCCGGGGACAAGGGTCCCGTCCGGCAGGCATGCGTGCGAGCCGGTGCGGCTCTGCTGGGGGTTCTGGGGTTGACGTGGTGGCCGTCGTCTGGTGTTTGGGCTTGATTGGGGTGTGGATGCCGACGTGAGGCCGGGCGCCCGATGTTGGATGATCCGCCGACTACTGTGCGGCGGCTCGGTATGCACATGGGGAAATGCATGGCTCGCACGTCGTGTGCGGCTGGGCTTCAAGGTCTGTACACAATTCTCAATTCTTCAGGGCCACAGACAGTTAGCATGGCGTGCCAAGTTCAACGCGACATTATCCGAATGTGGTCAATCAACAGCTTCATGGTTAGTACACCGCCATTCTCACGATCTCGACGAGTCGAAATGTCATGTGCATGTTCTGAAAGTGAATGGCTTGTAATTTGGTGAATCATAATCTGCTCGCTCAGCACAGTCAAAGCTGAGCCATCTCGTTTTCTAGGATGCCACAAAAAGCACCTTCAAATTTCGTGGTGTAAAAATATCAATAAAGCGCCGCCGCCCAATGCCCCAAAATCCAGTAATCAACGCCGGCCAAAGAATTTCGTGTCGTAGCGCAGGCTCACATGAGATCCATCTTCGTGAGCTGCTCGCCATTTCGTCTCCGATGAGACAAATGTTCGTAACAGCGCCGAGCTTACGCGGCATCGGCGCCCTTGGTGGGCTGAGCAACACGAGTGAGCTGGTCGCCGGCGCGGACAATACGCTGGCCGGATGAGTCGGTGACGTAGGTCATGTCCTTGTTCTCGAACTGAGCACGCTTCCAGATTTCAACCTCGCAGCCGCCGCGGAGCACGCCAACGCGCATGGTGGAGAGAAGGTTGTGAGCGGCGTTGGAGTGAAGGTAAACACCGCCATTGAATATAGCGGTAGCATCCTTGCCGATGGCAGAGTTGATGAGGGCGCGCCCACCGGGGTGATCCTTGATGAAGTCGGTCACGTCGTGGATGACACCAGCGACAGCGATAAGACCCTTGCCCTCCTTGCTCTGGGCAACAAAGTCATCCCAGTCGACAACAGGGAGCTGCTCGAGAGGAATGCCCCAGTCGAGGGTGGCACGCTTCTGGTCAAGCTTCTTCTGGAGCTGCTGGACACGTCCCTTCTCAATCTCGTTGGCACGGAACTGCTTGAGGTCGGAGGCGAGGCCAAGCTGCTTCCAGGTCCAGATCATCCACTTAGTGGGGTCGTACTGCCACCACTGAATGGCGTTGCGGTAGTCCGAGGGGAACTCGTGGTGGAAGTTGTGGTAGCCCTCACCAAGGGTGAAGAGAGCAGTGATCATGTGGTCGCGAGGGCTGTTGCGGTCGTCGAAGGGCTGATCGCCGATCCAGTGGGCGAGGGAGTTGATGCAGAAAGTAGCCTGCTGAACAAAGAAAATGCGGAGAATGCCGGCGTAGACGTAGCCACCAAGCCAGTCACCCCAGCCGAGACCGCAGACCAGAGTGGGAAAGATGACGCCCATGGTCAGCACACACTTGAGGAAGTGAATGTGCTGCCACATGACGACGGGGTCCTCGTTGAGATCGGTGATATCGGTACGGCCGGTACGCTTGGGGTCCTGCTTCATGACCATCCAGCCAAGGTGAGAGTACAGAAGACCCTTGCGGACAGAGTAAGGATCCTTGACAGTGTCGGTGTAGCGATGGTGAGCTCGGTGCTCGCGGGACCACCAGCGGATGGAGCCCTCAACGGCACCTGCGCCGACAGCGGCGAGGTAGATCTTCAGGGGCAGAGAGGCCTTGTAGGAGGAGTGAGCCCAAAGGCGATGGTAGCCTAGCAGAACAGGTCAGCAGACTGTTGAATGAGCATTTGCATCATGTGCGCTCTTACCTGCTGTGATACCCAGACCAGTGTTGAAGTAGTAAACGACAGAGAAGACAGCCGTCTTCCACTGGAGCGGAACCCAGTAGGAAGAGACGAGGCCAATGGCGGGAACGATGAGGATGAAAAATGTGTTGAGCCAGTTGACGTGAAGCCACCAGTTACCCCAAGTAATGGGCTGGCTGGTGATGTGAGGCTTCTTGGGGTCGGTCCTGGAACTGCGGACGGGGACATAGTCCTTGGTACCGTCATCCCACTTCTCGGCGGGTGCCGAAGGCATCGTTGCGGGTGCCATGGTGAGAGTCACTCCGGATATTTCGAAGACCGTCTCGGGCAATGGTTGGTATGGGTGATGAAGGTTGGTGATAGAGGGAGGAAAGGAAGCAGGTTCAAAACGGGAGGGGCCCGGAAGGAAGGTTATATGAAAAGGCAGTGGGCCGAGACGTGTGCGGTGGCGGCAATGGAGGTGTAGGGATTAGAGATGTGATGAGCTCTTCGGTACGTACTTTGATACGGCAAAACAAGGCAACCGCCTAGGTACCTACCTCGAGAAGAAGGGGTGAGAGCCTAACGATGGTGGTTGAGAGAACATGGCCACCTTGGTGGAGGGAAGCGGGTCCGATGAGCCGACGGGGAATGTACAGGTAGGTAGTGAATGGTTGATCGTTGTGGGCAAGAGTGCAAAAATGGGGTTCGCCACCCGACGACCGACCTCCTCTGATCGTTGTTGCCCTTGCTTGCGTCCTTCCCTTCCTTTCCCCAGAGCCCCAGTCCAGCCCAGATCCCTCCTGTCCAGGGCGAAGGAGGCAGGAGCATTGAGCGACGTACAAAATTGGTATCGGAAACGGCAGGGCAGAGCAGGCACGATGGGCCGTGCGCCCCACATGCAGGGACCCGGTAGTGGTCTGACCAATCACAAGCGATACCGCCTCAACTCGTTGGGGTGACGTGCGTAAATCCGTTGAGAGAAGGGAACGTACCCCTAGGTCATCCACCGAGATCGTGGTCACACACCACCAGCTAGGAAGGATGTCTATTTTTTTTCCTTTGGGGCGGGCAATCAGGCAGATGGAGTCAGAAGGTGTTGCCATGTCGGACGCTCATGAGTTTGTCCTCGGCTCAGGAAACATAGGTTTTTGCTTTTGATGGCCTGTTTGGCTGCTGATTGTGGTCTTGTTCAAGCTGTGACATGACGTTGAACTTACCTACACAGACACGGGGGGGACGAGGTCCCGGTGTCCCCAACAAGGTTGGTGGTATCTCTCTGACAGCCGGGGCGCCATCAAGACGGCGCAAACAAGAACAAGGATGCCTGTGAAACTCTACTACTACCCTTGAGTGAACCAGAAATGGCTGGTTCTCTATTTTACTACAGAAGTAGTCATGACCTAATAAAGCCTAGCGTATTCGCCGCTCTTGCTTTCAGTCCAGGTTCTGCCACGCCCTAGTCGATGTAAGAGTTATGCAATTTGTGCACATCCAGGTAGTGCTCAGAAAGTCGCTGGAGAAACCGTCGCTCATTCTCTAGCCCTGTACGTCACCGTTGATAATGGCTCAACTCGTCACGTCTCCTTGCTGAAGGAACAAAATCAGCATCCCACCCCGACAACGTCGCAGACTGGTACCTGTCGAGTCTGAGAGGTCTTCCTTCCTGGCACGTCTTGTAGTGCCCGCGATGATAAAGTTCGAATCATGACACCCGTCTCAGGCTCTGATCAGGTGCAGCTCCAGCTAAAAGCAGCAAGGACCTAACCCAGATCAGCCTTGGTAACACCTCTCCCGCGAGTTCTTCGTTGGCTTCCAGACAAGTCTTTTTTTCTATCCCCCCCAAAGAAATCCCAACTCCCCTCCCCGCCTGTTCGAAATGCCCAAGCGTCTGCCAAGCCTCGACGACGGCATGTCCATCACGACGTCGTCATAGCCACTCGAGATTCCCATGATCATCTACCTCTTCGGGTTTCGAGGCGCGACAGGACCACCCAATGCTTGTACCATGTACAATTGCTGTCACGCCTGATAGCCAGTCACACTACCCAATGAGCAATGGTTAGGTACTAGCGCCCGTTCCATGCCCTTTGTTGCGCTGCACAACTTGCTTGATGCAACATCTGTGCTGGGTTCGTCTTCAAGCTCCATACCAGCATCTGCAAAACGACACGTCGTCCAACTTGTCTGCCGGGTTCCAAGAGCCTATTCTCAAGTACGAGCACAAGCACATGAAGACAATCTAACACACCTACCATCCCCCGGATGCCTCGGCTCCCGCATGATCCCTCTGTCTCTCCGGTCCTCCGCCTTCCCGTCAAATCCTTCTTTGGCGTCCCAACAGAAACACCCTCTGCCCCGCACATTCCACCCATTCGATGCGTTCCTAGGAGGCAGGGGGGAGCGGGGACGGACAGAGACAAGGCCCCACCTCTCGATCCCCATCGCCGTTTCGCCTCATTGGTGGGAGAAACTCAGCTTTTCTCAGGCATTATCGGTCACGTGATCACTCATCTGCGTTTTCCTCGTTCGACTTTTTCCGCTCTTCTAGAATGTTTCTTCGCCACCCCCCTCTTGGCACGGAGCTAGTTCCCGGCTCTCCCCTTCCACATCCGAGCCCAAGCCTCCGAAACGCCCGATGCGCTACCAGGCTAGACTTCGGATGAGCCCGACGTCGACGTCTCCCGTAGGAAGAAAAAAGCTGCTACCGACCGGTTCCACCAACCGCACGGTCCGGAAGACATCGCACGCACTCCTTTAAGCATCCGCTTGTGAGAATCTGAGGGCCGCCATCCTTGTTGGTAAAAAGTCATCAAGTGCCATGATATTCCAACACCAAATCTTGATGCTGAACTAAATAGGCTACAAGCTACCAAACTATTTGGGGGACATGTACACAACCTACGCCTTCCAGAATAAATACGCCCCACCTTGTGCATCCTCATCCCAGCTTGCTGGTGCTGTTGTCTGTATATAAGTACATTTCTCATACCGGTCCTTCTGTCGTGATTGCCGAGATCGTCTCGGCCACAGGCATGTTCGTGCCGGAACGTTTCTCATCAATAATCTCTTCGTCTTCTGTCTGCTTTGCTTCAGGTTTTGAGGACGGCACGGCCTCTGCCGGATGAGGCATAGCTTGAACAGATCTCGTGTCTTCTTGGTCGAATTTCCCTTCTTCCAAGATTGTTGAAACCTCTTTGGGCTGATTTCCGACCGCTGCCCCATCCTCAGGCCTCCCAGGAAGGCCTCCATTGCTGTCGTCATTCTCTCCTCCGGGTACTGTAAGCCCCGTCGCCTTAGCCGTCTCATCATCGCCCTCGGCCTCCCTCACGGGTATATCCTGCTCCGTTGTGGAGCCTGTGTTGAGCGGCGCGTGCCCGTCAGATCCACTGGGTGGAACAAGGGCTCCCTCCGTCCCGTCAGCGCCATGGTCGTCGGCCGGGGGACTTTCATCGTTGTTCACGTTCCGCACTGTCGAGAGAGCGTCCTCTGCAGGCAAAGGCGCGGTCTTGTCGATGAGTGGCGGCGTTTCGTGAGACTTCATCTGTGCATCGTTCTCTGCTTCCCCGGGGCCCGTTTCCTCAAGCATGGCGTGGCATTGCGTCTTGTCGGTTCCTGCGCTGCTGCTTTCAGGGTTCTTGCTTGGTTGCTCTAGTTGAGTGGGAAGCTTAAGTGGAGTTCTGTGCGTGTCCTGTGGACCCGAACCTGGAGTGTCTGCTACAGTGGTTACGCTTGTTTCCACAACACTTAACGAGTCCTCTGACTTGAGGGCCTGCTGGCTGTTGGTCGTGGCCTCTGCCTCGCTGTTTATCTCTGTAGGCTTTTGAGTTGCTGCACATATCCCGCCTTGAGCAGTTTCCTCCAGCGGATTGGAAACCTCCACCAGCTGGTCCTCGTCGTTGGCTTGTAGCATTCGAGCCGTAGATATCGGGACAGTGTCGTCGTTTAAAAGTTTCTGATCCTCTTTCACGGGTGTGTTTGGCGTGGGCGTCACTGCAGCATCAAGTTCATCCTTGACATCCGGGATCAAGCTGGTAGAATCCCGTCGCAGTCCCTGCGAGGCCGGGGCCATCGAGTATGGCTCCTCACTTGTCTCAAACACGCCACCAAGCGTCGCGTGACCTCGCGACTCCATGTGACTTTCTCCTGCAAGAGAATCTTTACTCGTCCTCGGGGTGATGCTTCTGCCTCTAATCATCTCATCTGCCCCCACGTCGCTGTATGAGGGCGCGATGTTCCGAGCGCCAGCCCAGCCCGAGACTTGGGAGCCCTTGTAAAAGGCGTCAAATTGACCGTGATGACTCGGGAGAGGACTCGGGGGCGAGCGTCCTCTCGTATAGTAGTACGGATCCTGTGGGTACCCTGCTGCTTGGCCCCGATTCACGTATGACCAGTCGCTGGGCTGCGCAACAGTCTTGACGCGTGATTGGCCGTTCTCGTCGGCTACGAAATACTCTTTCATGGAGTACCCATCATCTACCGAGATTGAGGGAAGATCGTTTCCGGTGTCATGACGGACAGCGGGTTCAGGGAATAGAGTGAGAAGAGACGCAGCCTGCAGTCGGTGTCGAGGATCATCACTCAAGCAGAATCCAACGAGTTCGCGGTACCAGTGGGGGACGTCAACGTCGTGTTCTAGGATGAGGGGGCGCCCATGAGTCTCAGGCTCGTCTTCTTGCGTAGCTAGGGCCCATAGAACCATGCCAAGCTGGTACAGATCCGACTTGACACCGATGTACATCGAAATCCGCTGGCCGCTCTCGATAAGTGGCGTTGCCTCTGGAGGTTCCCAACCTACGGGACACCCTCGTCTGTTGATGTCTATGATCTTGGCATCGCCTTCGTCGTCAATGACAATGTTTGAAAGGGTAAAGTCACCCTGTACGAAACCTGATTCGTGAATGTCAGAGAGACCTTCAACAATCTGTCTGGCCCATCGCTCTCGTATCAGCCAAGGCGTTCCAAGTTCGGAGCCCTGCCGATTGTCGTACAGAAGGTCGATAAGTGCCCCTTGCCCAGCAAAGCTGATGAGGAGACCTTTGACGTGTTCGTCATGATCGTCCACGACTACACCAAAAAAAGATATGACGTTCCTCGAGTAGCGAAGTCGATTGAGTGCATTGATCTCATACAGGAACTCGTCGATGGTGTCAGGTCCCGGAATTTCCTTTTTGATGAGGACCTCTTGGCCAACACTGACTTTGTAAACGAAGCCGGACATGTGCGAGTCAAAATTGATGTCTCGCTCCCTGATCCTCTGGCATCCGAGGTGTTGTACCTGTCGAACAGTGGGGTAGTTGATGATCTCCTGCGAAGGGTCAGCATGGCGAATGGTACGTTGAAAGGGGGAGCAAGGGGGCAGACGTTTCTGTCCTCCATAACATGGACGTGCAGACGACCGTCTGTGGTTTGCAGCTTCAGGTTTGTGACGGTTTCGTAGAACTGTATGTCCTGCAGGCTTTCTCGGATAGCCTCATAAATCTTAGCACTCTTCTCACGTTGAAGTTTGGTATGCGCAAGATCCATCTCCAGTGAGTTTTCTGGGGCATTGCGGTAATCCAACGAGATTGTGACCCGCCTCCAGGAGGTTTCCTTGTCACGGTAAGTGACAAAGAACTTTTCACGCTTGGACTTGTCTCGGAAGTGCATGCTTAGGTTAAGTATCCACGTCCTCTCAAGCTCCTCCTGGATCATGACATCGTATTGCGATGTGGTGACAGAGTGAGTATCTGAGAGGGAAACATTGTCGGGGAAATGGTCAGCACGGACGAATGTTTCGGCTGTCGCTGATTGCACCATCTGATCGAGGCTGGTGACCGGTCTTTGTTCAAAGGATGAGGTGATCCTGTCAAGCGTCGACTCGCCCACCTTCTCAAAGGGAAGCTCGGGAGCGCTGGCTCTCGGAAATGCCCTGGGCTGCGAAGGCGCGCGGATGAACGTGTGGGCCCGACGATCAACAGACACTGCTCGCCTTTCTGCGGGGGTCATCTCTGCTGGAGCAAGATTATTCCTCCGCTCAGACTGCTGTCTCTTGAAGGTTTGGGCCCGCGGCAGCCCGGGAACGACCTTTCTTTAAGGGCGATGAGGAAGGCCAGGCCTGGAGAGTACCTCTGGATCCGGCGGAGGATCCGAGTCTCGCGGCAGCTCAGCCGGGGGCACTGAACTTCCATTCTGATGCCGACCGAACATCCTCCGAAAGAAGTTTGTTTGGTATGCGACGGCGAGGAGGGATGCTCCGTCGGTAGGGCGGCGGTTTGCGCCATGGCGAGCATGAAGAAGGTCGCTGATGTTGGTGTTGTGAGCTGGTCTATAGAGACCAACGGCAAAACGGGGAGAAGACGTCAGAAGTTGAGGGGACGAGGTAGAGTAGGCTGAGGCTCTTCCACGACAGGCCAAATAAGTCCCCAAGCGGTGTGTAGAAAGAAGCTGGGGAATCGTGATGTTTATTATGGGGCCGGCCGTGGCGCAGGTCCGGGAGTAACCAGGCCGGGAGACAAGGATGAGCCTGGGAACAGAAAGACGGTCAAGAGCAGGACTCGACGAAACCCAGGAGCCAATGTCGGGTTGCGGGACGTCAGTCTATCAATAGTAGACGGCGGATCTGCTTTCGAGGGATGACCAGACGGAGGGGCGGTGGGCGGCTGTTTCGTCCTTTTTTCGGTCCAACGGGATGATGGCGGTGCGATGTAGCGCTCGCTGTGCTTTTGGCGCCGTGTGGGCCAGACAACTGGAGCAGGAGGACGTCTGCAAACCGAAGCCAGGCAGTGGAGTCGAAGAGGCTGGAGACGCGAGGAGTACAGGAGACGAATCTGAGGAGTACAGGCACTACGAAGACGATGCGAGTAACCGTGGTCAGAGAGTGCAGAGAGTGCAGGCGAGGGCATCAGGCGGCTCGTGCGACGGGAAGAAAAGGCTCAAGGCGTGGTGGAGGACAGGCCGATCATGTTCAGACGATGAGACGACAGGATGCGTGCAGCGAAAGACGATGGCTGGGACGACCAGACCTTATGAGGAACGCTGCAGGTCGAGTCGAGTGCGGAAGGGCATTTGCTGGAACAGTGAGATGCGGTGCGATGTGATGCGATGCGATGCGTGCAATAGGATGGGGCCGGGCTGTGTGCGTGACGCTGGTCGTTGGCCCGTGGCTTTCGGGCGACGTCGCGAGCGAGTTCGGGTCAAGGAGGCTGGCCTTGTCGTGCGTGGCCTGGGCAGCCCTGGATGGGCTCACTTGGTTGTCCGTGTGTCGCAGTCGCAGACACAGCGGCCTGGTCGGTAAGGGTCTCTCGTCAGGCAGACAGTAGTTTGTCTAGGTGCCGGGGCGCATCAGGGGGCGTGTGAGGATGGGGGGTTCGAGAGGGGTGTGTGCTTGTATGGGTGCTTTAGCCCTGAAGTTCTGGGCGCAGGATACGACGAGGTTGGGCCTCCACGAGAGACGAGGCGGTCATGCTCCTTTGTACCATTCCATTCGTTGTGGTTGACGGACGACGAGCGGCAGGTGGAGGGCGGAAGCAAGACAAGAAGAGGTGCCCCCTTGGGAGCCGTCGGAGCCTGGGTGGGTTCGTGCCTGATGACCGATGGATGGATTGAGCGGCTTGCTGCTTGCCTCCGGTTTGACGGTTTGGCGGCCCTGTGGGATGGTCGATGGCTGAGTCTTGCGGCATGCAGATACACTGCGAGGGCTGGCTGGTCGGCCCCAGAAGCGCGTGAGAGAATATACCGGGTGGATATGGATAGAGGAGTAAACAGGGGGGGGGCGCGGGGCGGGCTGACGATGTGATGGACCAAGATGAGCGATGGTGAAGGGAAAGCTAGGGACACATCCCCCAGTGCTAACGACGAACATGAAGTAACAGTTCGGTGTCACAGGTTCTGGTCGTTGCACCAAAGACCAGGCCAGCTCCACCGCGGGGGTATCTTAGGATGCCCGCACCCTCTCTTGCCTCTCAAGCCTCTGCACTGCTCTAACTGCACTGAAGCCTTCTCTCCCAGGCAGGTGGGTGGGCCCTGCCTCGAATGCGTTGTCCATCGCCCCTGCTCCCTGTCGAGTCCCTTGCACAGTACCTAGAAAGCAGCAGTAGCTTCTCCTCTTCCCGCGCACTTTCGGTCGGTTTGCTGCATCGTACCTACCTACCTTGGTACCTAGGCAACTACCTGGATGGGACCCACCCAATAACGAGGAAGGTACAGCTTGACTCCCTAGGTCCTGCACCTAAGGTACTTTCCTGCCTACCTACATGTACAGTGCCCATCCAATCTCACTGGTAGAGGCAGGTAGGTGTTCCTGCCAGCCTACTTGCGCTAGCTGGCACTTGCTCTCCACTGACCACCGTCGTGCTAGCCAGTTTCCCCCTCCCCTACAGTACCTACTTTAGCACCTTCATCCATTCAACTCTCACCACCCACCCTCCCGCCAACTATGATCGCATTGGGCGGTCATTGGGCTTCAACGTATCAACGAACGTTTTGCCCGTCCGCCTTCTTTTCTGTCTCTGGTGCGTCTTGCCTCGCAGCTCCATGTTTTCCTGTCAACGGAAAAACAATGGCACATCCATGTCAGCCATGCAAACGCCTCGAACTCCGTCACTTCGGTCACAATGTAAGCCCTTCTCCATTCCCCGCGCCTCCCTCCTACGCCTGGGGTCTCAGGCGTCATTTCCACCGTCACACCAAACAAAAGAAAACCGATGCCGCGGACCACATCCTTCGTTTCCTTCGTTGGACACCCATCCTCGCCATGGCCGCTTGCCTCTGTGCGATGCCTCGTGGCCAGCCTGCCTGCCACGCTGAACAAAATCCCCCACGCGCGAAAACATGCAGGCTTTGAACCACGTTCTTCGACACGGAAAAAGAGACGACAACTCCAGAACTATCATCTCTGATCTCGAGGCACCCCACAGCGCCAACACAACGATGGCCTGCATGATGGCCAATCCATCAGTCCCCGCCCCCTCCTACCGCCCGCGCTAGCCTCGAGTGCCCGCTGTGCGTGTGCGTGTTGCAGGATAGATGCCAGCAACCTTGGTCATTGGCAATACATGTACAAGCGAGTGGGTGAACTGCTCTTCCATGTCCCGAGATCACAAGAGGACCACCTCCCACGCCATGGGCCGCTTTCTTGGCTCCTCGGCAGAATGACCTCGCAAGGATGAGCACCATAACAGCACAGGAATAAGCCTCCCAATTAGGGGCACCAAGTCGATTTCGAGCAGAAGAACCCCCCACGACTACCAGCTTCGCATTTCTCTTTCAAATCCCCCGATCCCAACTCATGCCGCCCTTTCGATCCATGCTTCAGGGGGCTAGTCATCAGTCAGCACCCCAGACCGACCCAGACCCACAACCACGCAGATGTCTGCTTTCCCTCCTCGACCAGTGCTGTCCACCTTTTGGCTCAATTTGTGCGCTTGGGCACCGACGCAGCCCAAACGGTGAGGCGGTTTGACCGCTTCCCAAAATGACAGGCCCTCCTCCTTGGGCAAATGCTGGTCGTCCTGCATGGCCGACTGCGTTGCCTGAAGCCAGACAGTACGTCTAGTGTCAAAAGCTTCCAATTGGGACCTTCCTTTCCTTCCGCGCTGTCAAGGGAACGAGTGGGTCTCGACTGTCTCACAGCCGACACTGCTTGTCAAGGGACTGTGCAATTCATACTCGCTCTGACACAGGCTCGGAATGGTCCTGAAGCTTGCGATGCACGCCCCGGGCGCCAGCATCCAGAATGAAGTCATAAGTGTTGCTTTGCCCGGCTGACGTCAACCGCCATTACTGTCGATCATGACGTGAAAACCACTCACACGGACTGTCAGTCGTGAATGTCAAAAGTGGTGAGACGCTTGAGCCCTCATAATTAGACAGGCATCCCCATGCCTACACGACGCTTCGTCCCGCGGGCTAACGTCGTGATCGCCGATAATAGCTTCGGGAGCTTATGCTTGTCGCAACCGTCCACGGGCAAGTCCGTTGTCGCATGGGGCCTTTACCCCTTCAAGGCCGACCGGGATAGGGATGTGTTTACAGTGTCACCAGCATTCGGTCGCCAGCGGTCAGCTCAAGACCATCATCCCACCAGCTCGCGCAACCCGGTTGCAGACCCCTGATTTCGATCTCGCACACAACCCCAGACTCCCTGCATATGCGAACCCAATCCTGCCTTGCGGGCCATTGATCACACACTGTAATGACTGTGTGTGCACGCAATGCGGTCATTACCCTCCCTTGGGCACAATTAGGCTGACATGTGCACCTCAAAAACGTCCACTGGATAGGGTAACGACTCGGTGGACGCTCTGTTTTGATTATGCTGCGATTGCACGTCTAGTTCACGATGCGATTGACAAAGCGGCTCGGTGACCATCACTAGTTCGATCCGACAAGCGCGTTCGCCAGCAGACAATTGGCATGATGTAACAAGTGATTCGCCGGGCCTAGACAAAGGCCGCATGCTTAGTAGTATACAATGGTTCTACGGATTTCCCATCTCTCCGTCTCTCGCGACATGGACCAAGACGGGGGAGGAACCCGCCCATGTGCTCCTGCTCCTGCTCCTCCTCCACATGCTCAAAGATCTACAAGTACATTTCGCTATGTTCCAGCGACGCAGAACGGGGAGGAAAAAGAAGCGTAATGATGCGGAGTAGAGCCGTTTCGTCTAGTCGTGTCAATGTGTGCCGGACAAGGTGTTTGTGTTATGTGTGTATGATGTATCGTGTGCGCGGCCAAGCATCGTTGAGCCTGGCATCCCCGCGTCTAGCACTTGCTCATGGCCGCCCCGTAAAAACGCCCGACCATACCTAATCTTTAGGGCTCCGTCCGCATGGGCGGCCAAGTCTATGACCTGACAAGGCTTGGTTCTAGCTGCGGTAAAACAGACGAACACGCAGCGCTCTATGGGGAAGTGATGGGAGGGGGTTCATCAAGGCCTCGTCTCGGAAGAACACACGGTGTAGCCTCCTCAGTTGCTCTTGTCAGCCGGCTTCTCTTCGTCGGCGACC